TGATTGTATTATCAATCTCCTTAGTTTAGTTATCAATGCACCTTGTAGTAATTAATTTTCTTATGTGAGTTCAGTTGTTAATGAATCTTATAGTAATTAATTTCCTTTTATGGGACTTGAATGTAATTCTCCTCAATTTTTATTTGTTGCCTAATCATAAATGTCATGGACAACAAGTAATTTATATTGCTTATTAAAAAAAGAAGAAGCTTACAATAGATATAAAAGTGTTGCCTATTCGATAATAAGCAATTGTTCTATGTGTTGCTGCTCATATGTTACTTAAAGTACTACTTGTGTGCAACACTCAAAAATTGTTACTTGTTATAAGAATAGGCAACATTTTTTTACCCCTTACAGAGTTAACTATTGCATAACTTTAAAATGTTATAGTGTGTGCCTATAAATTAAATAAGTATAAGGAAAGTAGAGAAATGACCCTAAAAAATTGTCTAACCACTGTCCAAATCACCTCTCAAATACTTAGAACGTGATTGGTTTACTCCTCACCCAATCTTAATTAAGGGGTGAAAAGCTCATTGTCTTGATGAAATATTATTTGGCATAAAATAAAAATACCAATGTGCTTTAGGCTCATTGTGTGCTTCAACTAGAGCCCAAGGGAATGAGCCTTTTAACTCGCTTTAGTATGTGTTTGGATTAAAAAATTTGCAACTAAAGTTAGAAGAAAAGTCAATTAATATAATGTGATTTATGTTTGAATACTTTTTTTTTTCAGAAGTCAATTGGATAAACTAAAATTTGTTTAGCTAATTTGATTCAAAAGCCAGTTTGAAATTTTTAATGGCAAAAATAAACATAAATTTTTTGTATATATATTTTTTATTAATTAATAAGTAAAAAATAATAAACTTGAAATTATAATTAATAAGTAAAAAATATTCAATATTCAATTGTCAAAAGCTAAAATAAATTTACCAATTATAAACTATTCATTTGATATGATTTACAAGTTAAACTCTAATTATATCACGAATAATTTTTTATATGCCTAAATGTAGGCATTTCTCGTATAATTGCAAATCTATTCTTCTATACTCCAAATGTAATGACCTTGAATTTATTTAAAATTAAAAAAATTAATGGTGAGACATTTTAATGATATTGTGTGTGTGTGTATTGGTACAATTAGGTCTTGTGTTCGAGTCTCGTTTTATTTTATTTAATTTTTTTCAGCCACATGAAATTACAATCATGCCCCACCTTAATCAGATTGTTTTCCATCTTTCCTCTCCAATCATAAAAATGCTAGAGACAAAAAGTTAACTCACTGGGAACACACTGCCATCCCTGTTTTTTTTTCCTCCTTCCTTCTTTGTTCTCATTTGGACACCAACGTGAGAGGCATGAGTTCGTCATTCAAGCTCTTTACTTTTGCAATTGAAAATGTTGATTCGACTATAGTTCTTCAATCCATGTGGTTATGTGTATGTGTTTAGATCTTTTCCAATCATCTTCGTCCTTGTCCATCGCTATAGGTTCGTGTCTCATGGGTGCATCAGTGTGAGCAACAGACACAATAGAGATGAGGTCAGCAATGGTTATGATCTCTTATCAAATCCAGTAGATTTGGAAGAGTAAAGGGTAAGCTAGAGCAACCATGGCCGATGGTAATGACGAAGAGAAGGCTTGGGACCACAGGCTCAAGAGATAGCAAATAATGAAGAGAGAGAATAAAAAGCAGTTTGGACAGTGCCACTTATGAGCAACAGAAGGTTAAGCAGATCTAGAAAGTTTAGAGCTTGGGAGGTCATGGGATAAAGAAAACACGCACAAGGATGAAAAGCAGAACTCGTGGTGGTAGATGAATGAAAAGAGGGAGAAAGTATAAAAATTTAAAAAGCAATCAATGCTTCCATTGACCAGCTGATTGATGCAACGTTGAGGAAAAAGCCAACCTTGATGGCTTCTCAAAAATGCTCATTTAGCTTTAACTAAGGTTAATAATTTTTGTTAATGCAAACAACACTTTTTGACCATCTTATATCCTAACCTCAGTTTGGCCCTTTTAATTGAGATTAGAAGTTAATTCAAACATGCTCTTAGCTTTGGCTTTAGAACATTGGGGCATTTTTTAAATAATTTTAAGATTCTCTTTCTTCTTCTCATTGCCTCGTCTTACTTGATCCATGGATCATTCCTTGCTATGTCTTCACCTCACTATCTCTTACCCATCCTTCTTCTTTCTACTATGTCATTGACTGTACTTGTGATCTCCGCCGTCACCATGCGTGGAGGTCAAGGGGTTTCATCGATCGAGGTGCCATTGCGACTGCATATGTTAACTTTGTGATAGTTATCTGTTAAATTTTGGGTTACATATGTTTTTCCTATGAAGTGCGATATTCTATCTAAAATAGGCAAAATAATTATTGGATATACATGCAGAGGATAAAAAATAAACAATGTTTCTGTAAATGATTAATGTTCTTTTCTTTGTGTAAATCCTCTCATACCTCCAAGCTAAGCTCCTCCTTTTACATTACTTCCCTGTGTTTGGAACTTTATATGTCTAATTCTGTTCAAGCATATAATTCAAGTTCATGGCTTTATTGTTTTGGTTACTTGAACGTTTTGAATTTGTATTTTGGTTTGGCTTTTGAAAGTGTGAAGGTGCCTCCTAGAAGGTATTTATTTTAACATTCCATAATTGAATATTTTGAATTCCATTGTTTAATTCTACATTTTTGAAAATTAAAATTTTTTATTTATCAATATATTTTATATTTATAGTCTACTATTTTTAAAATAATATATAATTTCAAGTTTAACATTTTTTTAAATATCAAATTAGTCACAAAAATATATACAATAAAACTCATGTTCATTTTTATAATTATATATGTCAACTGACTTTTGAATCAAATTATTTAAATAAAATTTAGTTTGTCTAACTGACTTTTAAAAAAATATTTAAACCCAAATCACATTATAATCATAAACTTTTCTCCTAACCTCAATTAATTTTTAATCTTAGTTGTAATCTTTTCATCACTTATCATAAATTGAAACTGAATGTAAAAAATAATATATATTCTCATGATGACAAAGATTTTACTAGTACACCAATTATTGTCAAAATGTGTTTATATTTTAGGCCAGAAGAAGTATAAGATAAATTTTAAAAGTAGTTTGTTTTAAATTTTTTTTTTTGTCGAAAGAAGTTTTTTTGTCTTTAATACAAGGTAAAATTAAAGTGACTACTTTTTGAATTTTATTACTTATTTATCTATTATGATTTGAATTTCTGGAGAACAATTTATTATATAGTTATAGATTACAAAGAATGAAAAAATTGAAAGAGTTACCTTTTTAATAGTTTTAACTTTTAATGACTTAACTATATTTTTTTAATAAGCATGAAATTGTTAAGTTTATTAAGAATCGAAGGAGCATATGCGTTACGAATTATGAGCAATAATGATTTTACGGTGATCAAAGAAACAACAAATTAAATGGTATATGTTATTACACTTTATATTTTTTTCCTTATTGATAATAGATTATTAAAAGTTGTTTTATTCATTCATAATGAGAAGTTTCTTTTTCGATATCTGATCTTTTATTTTGCCAATTTTTTCGATCTCTTGATCATATCAAGATCTGCAAATAAATATCCGTCTATAATCAAATTTAACTAAGGCTATTAGTTTGGACGGAACAAAAGGTCAAAAAATAGAGGAGAGAGAAAATCACGAAAAGGAAAGAAAAGAAATTTGTTTACCATTATTAAAAGTTTTCTTTCCTAATTTTGTTTTTTCTTGTTTTTCTCCCCGTCCTAATAAACATTAAAAGTCAGGTTTTATACAATGTGTCTCTCTCTCATGCCTCTTTACCCACCTTTTTTTTAAAAAAAAAATTCAACTTATTCACTGGTTTTTTTTTTTTAACCAACCAACTTATTCACTGTTACGTTCTTCCCTTATCGTTATGTCTTTCGGGTCCAAAAGGTGCCCTGTAGATATATTTTTATGGAAATATCACAACTTTTTGATATTGTTACGCAATGTAAAACAGTTGAGCAGTACCTTATAAATATATTTCATTATTTCTCTGAACAAACTGACGGTTAAAAACTCTTATCGTCGGAGGATATATACAACGTAAAACCTAACATTCTTTAGATAAATGTGTTTTATTTGTTATTTGTTGAAATCAGACGACACCTTTTTTTCACCAAAGAATAAAAGCCTCTTCCACGGGGAAAAATTAGAAGCTTGTAGTGGAATTAGTTAAACACTTCCTAATTCCTACCTGTTGCTTATTACAAGCCACGCCTTTTTTCGCCGAGATATCCCGAAAGCTCAATAATGGGACGTAGGGGAAAACGCGCGTTTTGAAAAGCTTTTTCATTCACAGAACCTGGTTCACAGTTTGGTTTGCTGTTGGCTCGAGCGAGACTACCGCACGATCCTCTCACGTGATTTGATGATATTGACTCATTTAGTTAGTGGGGAAAAAGGAAACGAATAAAAGTAGTAGTAAATGCAATAACAGTTTCTTTTTTCCAAAGTAAGGAATGTAATTCCTTCCCTTTATTGGGGATAACTTTGAAGAATCCTCAGCACTACATATCAGAAAAATAAGAGGAGAATTTTAACCATGCGGAGCTGCGGACAACGCTAACACGCCCTGCATTAAGTTATCGACCCAACGCCTTTTCTTTTGTTTTTTTTTACCCCCCTCCTTTTCTATACATGCGTTTTCCATATATTCTCTTAGTCCCCTAACACAAATTTCGAAGACTACACCGCTTTGTCTCAAACTTCACTTTCTGGTCCCAACGCCAAAAAGCCCTAGCTAACTCCCACATCAAATCCAGCACCCCAGAAGCATGGCTCGAGTTATATGCTACGCCTGAACCTATGATCAGGGTTTGACTCGAAGGTGGCTGGTCAAATGGTAAACAACATAAGCGGAAGCGCAGATCATACAGGCAATTGATAGCACAATCATTTCACCGCGACACCAATAGAAAGTACATAAAATGGATCAAACTTCATTGAGAATACAGATACATACATACATATAAATATGGGATTACATTATTATATATAACTAATGAAATGCTAGAATGTTAAAACACTGGAAACATACACGAGACTGGGAAGGCTACTCATTCAATACTGATTAAGATGACTAGCCTGGTGAAGGGTGCAATTTATTGTTCCATTTAAGGTAGGAGATGAGTGATCAATTCAAGAGATCGATTGAGGAGTTTTGAGGAGTTGAGCGAGCTGGCCGCTTAGGTGGAGGGACATAACTTCGTTGGTGGACCCCACGAGCTTCCCTCCGATGAAAACGGCCGGGACAGGAGCAGGACAGCCCAGCCTCAGTAGGGCTTTCTCCATTTCCCTGCCTTCAGGCTCTTGGTCGATTTCATGAACCTCAGGGTTTGCCTTCAGCTCCTGGAACAGAATCTTCACCGCATAGCACAGGCAGCAAGAGCTCTTGCTGAATATCACTACCCGATTTTCTGATGCCAGCCTCATCACCTTGTCCATCTTTCTTATTCAACCACGCGCGTACTTCCCTCCTTCTTCTGAATATTTACAAATGTTATTCTGTTCCACACACGAAAGGGGTAAAGACAGAACAAAAAAAGGAAAAAAGGAAAAAACCAGCTGAGCATAGAGGATTAGATTACCTTAATTAGACTCACTAGAACTCCAAAACCATCAGACCGAATCCAAAAGCTGAATTCGATCCAATGGTTTGTGTTGGGGTTGGATGTCTAAGGAGCAGGAGTGGGGAAATATATAGAAAATTATATGATCGATGCTCGGGGTCATTTGAAATGAGCTAGTGTACTAGACTATTTATAGGGACAGCTTATAGCAGAGACCTGTGTCTTTGAACAAAGCACGTCTAAAAGAGGTTGTGCTTTTTAGATGCCCAACTAAAGCAACCCATGGGAGGTAAAGACCACAGTTAGTTTATCACACTGGGCGCTCGACAAGTTGGAAGAAGAAATGATGCTATTGATTTCTTGCATAAGCCTCCATTAATTCATAGACAGGCTGTGCGAGAGCATATATAACCGTATAATTAATAACAGATGAAAATGGTATATGTTGGACTGACCATGGGCCGAATTAATCCAAAAGAAGGGAAGGCTGTTACGGGGAGGTTGTCAATTTATACTCGGATTCTCGCAATCTACTGCTTAGAATCTCCTGTACATGCAGAAGATCGCGACTGAGATGGCTTTCGGTGGCTCTGATTCTTCGTGTTGCGATTCTCTCTCTACATTTCCGGCACTCGTGTGTGGAGAAGAGAAGCGATGATGGACACACACGTGTACGATATTCTTTGAGCAAAAGAGCGCGAAAGAAATTCCATTCCTTTATCATTGGGAGAGCCTAGAATCTAGCATATTATTCGTCACGTTATAATGTGCCTGCTCAGATGCATACAGATTTCGATTTGATTATGTATGATTCTGTATATATATATATATATATATATATATATATGCGCGCTTGCTTGCATGGGCCTGTCTCTCTCATCAAGGTGTCACTGCTCTAGATGACATTGTGTTACGTGCATTTTTTATGACAAGTGATTTTTTCCGGGGAAGGAAGGGGAATTTGGGGGGGGGGGGGGAGTGTGTGTGATCAAATTGGTCTGAATTTTTTGTATCTGATTTTTTCCATTTTTAATTTAGAGTGAAAAAAGCAATTCTCATTTCCAAATTAATTTGCATGGCAAGTGAATCCCCTCGAGTGGTCAAATTGGTCTCGGATTCCTCTTTACTTTAACAGGTATCTTTGGGTGTGCTCATGTTCAATAAGAGATATCTTCCACTTGACACAAACTATATTCATACCCGTATATATTCCCAGTCTTGTCATGCATTAAATGAGGGGTAAATCCAAAATTTAAGAAAATAGTTTCAAATAAACTGAAAAATAAAAGTTTTTTCATCATTATTTGGCCAATAAGATAAGTGATAAACTCAGAAAAATTAATAATAAGGACAATATTTATATAAAATATAAATATTAATATTTTTTAAATATAAATATAGATATTAATTAAAATAATATATATGAGAAGTTTTAAAAACATATCTTAATTTGATTTGCATCATAAATTTATTTTTATAATAAATATAAGAGTAAATAATATTTGTAAATATGTATGCTTGATAATTTTAAAAGGAATGTGGAGTAATTAATTTATGGACGAAATTACAATTTTAAAGAGGGAGCAGGTCCCTGTCTAAGGCACATGCATGCACTTTCAAACAGTAATAAAACCCAAATATAGTTATTTAATACATTACTTAAGTAGGACGTAATTTTATGAAAAGCACAACTTAAAAAATCAAGCATGGATTCGAGATTATGTATGAGTCCTGCTCAGTGTCCTGGCTAATTGACACACATGGCTACATTATGTGTGTATACATGTATATAATATATACACTCAGTGACGGATCCAAAATTATTTTATGGGGATCAAATTTTCTTCTTCTACTACTTATGGTAGGCAAGGTTTAGCTACAAAATTTTTATAAATAATTTCTAAAGCATGACCTCAAATGATTATAAGGAGGTAAATATTTGCGGGGGTCAACAGGGTTCGTCGCTTTTTACGCCACTACAAAGCAGGCGGTGTCGTTTTGTTTTTTTGTTAACCACCTTGATTAAAAGGGGCCACTTCTGATCCAGCCCATGTAATCTTGAAGGAAGTGGGCTGCTCGCTTGAATGAGGTTCGTCAATCTTTTTTATTATTTAAAAGTTAAAACATTAATATTATATTGTGTCAAAAAGAAAAGACATTAATATCGTATTCTTGCTCGTCCAATTATATGCAAAATGCCTCAATAAATATATAGTTACTATCTTTCAATTGATGGTGAATGTGATAGTTGTTAACAATTGGCTAGTTTCACAGCTATAACCACTTGATCCTAAATCACACTGAACTCATCAACATTAAAATTTTTATGAAATAACAAAATACGCTAATATGTTTGAACGCAGCAAACTAGTTCCCCACGGTATTCCTTTCAACATACAAGAATAATAAAGCCTATTTGCTTAAAATATTAAAATGCATTTGCCAACATCATACTGTCGTTCGAAAAAGCTTTAAAAATATTTCCAATAGTGTATATATGACCCGTAGACATAATGGACGTGGTCTAGAGAGATTGGCCACATAATGCACGGAGCATAATTAATTTTTTTTTCATACAATAGAAATTTAAGTGAGATAGATTCTGAGAACTCATGAAAACCAGTAAAGTTTCATTAATGTTAAAAAATGCTCATAAAAGTACTTAAAAATCACGCACCAACTAGATACTTGGAAATTGGAATCCACACTACCCTACTGCCGTGAAAAATAAGTCCTGATTATTAACTCGATCGGTCCTCATATTACAAGGATCATATAAATATATATCTCTGTGGCACAAAATGCATTGTTTAGTCTGGAAAAGGTTTGATCTTATTTTAGAATATTTAGCAGACACTTAATTATTCTTCATTACGTGCAATAGATGAAAAATCAATTTACTATTCAGTACAAAATACAATAAAATCTATAGTAAATCATATAGCTTGCAAATTATGAGCATCAGAACTCTTTTCAAGAATTCATACAGAATATACGAAGAAGCATATTTAATTAACCATTAACTGATAACCAATACTACACGCACCAGCCGGCCGATTATTTTGCAACAGAAACAATGACGGCTTGGTCTACATGCATACAAATCGCGTATGGAGGTCAGACTAATAAGCCTTCGTGATAATTTTATGGATATGTGGGAATAACTATACATGGAGAGAACAAAAAGTAGAGATTTTTTAATGGCCAAAGAGACAAAAAGCCATATAGCATCACCTTTTCGTGTCAAGCTTAAGAAAGCCCCCATGCACGTTAGGTGCTAATTAATCAGGTGGAAGATCAGCACCTGCACAAGGTGCGCGCAATTTGAGTGGCGAGGAATCAACGCCTACGTGTCCTTGAAAGTGAAAATAATAGGCATTTGTGTATATGTTGGGGTTTTATAATTTTGACGTTGGATCCTATTATCAGTGGACGTGACTTTGATGGAGAACTATTGCGCTGTTCAAAAAAGCAGATTCTCCTTCAGAAAATATCATGCTATGCCCATATCCCACCATTTTTTGTTCACTTGAAACACTGATTTGATCAATGAGTATAAATAAATATAATCCTCCCGAAAGTGGTGGTGAGATTGGATAAGGCGTGCACTTGAAGCGTGGTTCATTCACCAAGTAACCCAAGAGATTAAATATGATGATCACTCGAAGTTTAAAGCTGCGTCGACCATGCATGACAAAAAGGTTCAACTAATTAACTGTTAAACAGTAGTGGTTATATATGTATATATAAAGTCAGCCTTTTCAGAAAATACCAAAAAAAGGCTATTTTTTATGAACACTTCTTCATTCTCTAAAATTAACAGGACACAAGAAAAAGCAGGGGTGTCCTATGTAAAAACAGTGAGACTAGATTGCTTGCATCAGAACTCCACTCCTCTTACACTACGTAGCATCACGTGTGATCGTAGTACAGGGAGCTTCTTTGAGATGAAAAGGTCGAAGCCAAGCCTGCTGATTAAAACCATATGGCCTTGGCATTTATAAGCATCTGTTTGAGAGAGCCGTCGACGTGGAGGGATATGATATCTTTGGCCGAGCCCACGAATTTTCCTCCAATGAAGACTGCTGGAACTGAAGGGTTACAGCCCATGCCTCTCAGAGCCCTCTCCATTTCTCTCCCATACGCATCAGTGTCGAGCTCGTGCACTGCTGGGCTGGCTCCCAGCTCATAGAACAGTTGCTTGATGCTGTGGCACATGCAACACGAGCTCTTGGTGAATATCACAGCAGCCTTGTTCGATGCCAAATCTCTCACTCTGTCCATTGTCTTACCGCGACTTCTCTCTGATCAGCTTTCGTGTATGAGCTCGGGAAGTATCTATAATATGATAATAGAGCGGGAAGATGATGATGAGTGTGGGGGAATATTGCAATCACTCAGGTTCCTCTATGGTGGACTTTGAGATTTCTTCTCCAGTATTTATAGTGGTTGGTTGAAGATAGTGGATCACCGGATTTGCATTATATAATTGTAGAAAAGCAGAGGAAACAAATTAATTTTGGTTAATTGGATTGTGGGGGGGGGGGGGAGAAAGTAGGTTAAGATATTTGTTTGGATAAGGGGAATGCTACCACCTGATCATTTGGTCGATGGTGACCCTGCCATGACCAAATTGCTTTTTGCATAATTATAAATTTATATATCATCACACTGTAAACGACAATTATTGAAATCTCTTTGGAGGTTTGTCCGTACAAGAGCAATCAGTGGTGGGATAAGACATTGTTGTTACTTGTTATCAGCTGAAAACTCTTTCGGCCCTAGCTCGCAGCATCAACACATTATTCTTGCAGCAATTCATGCGAGCTTCAAGAGGCTGGTGGGACAGAGCCAGTGCTGCGCTGTCAACAAAATGTGCCATCATAGCGGAATCCATTATCCAATCAGAATGAGTATTATGCAAAGGTCAAGAGACCCCGAATAAAAGCAAAAAGGAAGCCCAGGTGTCATTTTTGCCAGCCATATGCGAGGCCACCGTGCTTAACTAAAACTCTTGAAGAAAGGGAAATATCCTAAGATCGATAAATGGGAGATGATTATTAGATGGAAGAAGCATGTACAGCTTTAATTAGCCTAAGTAAATGCTCTGACTATTGACGTGCTCTCGCTCTCGCCATCTTCTGTAACTTGGTGTGTTTGATTCTGTGTAGGGCTGATGTGGAGAGAGATAGAGTTTATCCAGTGCATTCCACTTCCACACTTTTGGTCCCCGCATCAGATTCACGGAATACAAACCATTTCTCTTTGGCCCTTTAGATATCGACGGGATTCTTTGCTTAATCTCAAAATTACATGCACAGTGAGCATGGCATGAAAAATCCCAGTGCTATTACTATAGCGTGATTTTCATAATTGTGATTCCACCTTCCAACTTCCAGGGGTATAAATTCCAGGGCTCTGCATCATGATCGGGCGGCTTGCCTAGCGATAATCCTAGCAAGTAGCAAGCATGTCCCTAGCGTATGAGATTCTTTCTCACTGTTTCAAAGTATCTCCACTAATGGGGAAGGGAATGTCAACTTGAATGTCAGAACCTACTAGAAGGACTGGTTGATTTAATCGTAAGGAATACTGATTTAGATATGGGGCATCTAAGTAGGAGAGCAAATTAATCTCGGTTCAAGGCCAAAATGTGATATAATTGAACCTCATCAGAGAATAAATTTAGATCAAGCTTCAAATCCGGACTGGGAAAATCTTTTCTGTGGACTCGGCCCAATGCGAAAATATTTGGGCCTGTGATTCTTCATTTTGATTTGCCCCACAAAAACACTTCATTGGTCACTAGCTGGACATCAAGAACACATGACCCATTGCGCGGGCGCCCAAGTATGGCAGAGTCCGGACTCCTTCCAGATAGATCTATCTGATTTCCTACTCCCACGGCCCACTCCTGATATTATATATGCTAACACACTTTTCTAGTTTTGCTTATAAAATAAGGATAGAATAATATTTTTTTTATTTATAAATCATCTTATTAAATTTTTATTACAAGCTTTTTATTGTTACCTCTCATTAAATGTTAATAAAAAAATAAATAAATAATTCTATTTAAATATGTACATTTAATTGAAATGTTAGAAACTTGTTAAGTTTTTTATATAAAGGTTAAGGAATTTCGAATTTTTTTTATTCCAGTAAAAGATTTGAAACTTGAAAATGGTGACTTCCAAGGAGTATATATATGATATTATATATGCTAACACACTTTTCTAGTTTTACTTATAAAATAAGGATAGAATAATATTTTTTTATTTATAAGTCATCTTATTAAATTTTTATTACAAGCTTTTTATTGTTACCTCTCATTAAATGTTAATGAAAAAAAATAAATAATGCTATTTAAATATGTACATCTATTTGAAATGTTAGAAACTTGTTAAATTTTTATATAAAGGTTAAGGAGTTTCGAATTTTTTTTTTATTCCAGTAAAAGATTTGAAACTTGAAAATGGTGACTTCCAAGGAGTATATATATTGATCCTGTAACTTATATCAATCTTGAAGTAGGTGCTATGACTTAAAATCCACCCTATATTGCTTGAATCCTTGTATGCTATCAATACAACATACTAATATTCGATATCAATATTTCAAAATGTGTAATAACTTATATATTAAATTCAGGGAGGGAGGGAGGGAGTAATGAAGGAGAGAGTGGTCAATTAACATCTACGAAGATTTATTCTCCAGATTTCTCAAAATGTAGGATATCTTGATTATTTTTATCTGTTCAAACTAATTTAAACTAATATGAGTTTAATTTGAATGTGGAAAACTAATTCTGATTGTTTTAATCAAATGAAATTAAGAATACATACTAATTAATCATTTCATATAATTAATGAAACTGCCCGTCAAGGCGGAATCAACGGAAGTAGTGTTGAAGCTAATGCATGATTACCTGTCGTTTATCTTCAGCACTGGGATCAAATTGGATCATATGATCACCAACGGCAAAGCACTGATTTTTTCCGGTAGCAACACAACGTCCAACAGCGCTCCGCCCATTTCACAGCTGATCGACGACGTTACATGCTCCCCATCCTCTCTCCTTCTGAGCACCAATTCATGGTGAAAATCTGACTGCTCTCCATGAGTTTGAAGGAATCCATTTTCAGACAGTTAAGAGGTTTCCCCGTTTCCATCACTTCTGACAATGCACGGAGACCCTAGAATAAGAGACAGCGATCTTCTATAACGTTTGCGGATTCACCGCCAATGATATCTCTCATATGTCAACTCTGTCACGTGAAACAGCATGAACAAAGATTAGAGAATCCGCTGAAACTGACACGCATATATTTGTGATGATCTATCAATCTCAGAATATATCTTGAGACTTGAGATTTCGATTTTGTATTGAGATCCAACATTTTTCATATGTTTATAGCGCATCACTTTTTCTCATCATCTCTCATCAATAATATGCCTGCATGCCACGGACCGTCTTCGTTTTCTTTATCTCAAACTCTCTTCCACTTTCGTTAATATTCGTCCCTTTTCTCTTTCTATAATCTTTGTCGCTTTCTTATCTGCTCACATATATTCCTCTTATCAACTCACGATCTTCTCGTCCTATACATTATCTTCACTTCAGGTGGTCGGAGCAATTAGAAATTGACGGCCACATCAAGTGAATTAATCGTTTAAAGCAAGTGTACCTTTGGGCCATATATACTGCGATTACATACACGACGATCGAATTTGATTGTAGTACGTGTATGTACCTCACTAAAGACAGATATAGATGCACACGTATAGTACGTACGTGCCCTTGATCTTTCGCTTTTTAACGCCCAATAATAAATATTCCTTTTCAACAAGCTTCTATCATGTTTTGTGAGTTCAATTTGGGCTGCGAATCGTAGGATGAATAGGCCCAGAAAAGTTGATAGGTAAATCTTAGTTGGATCTCCGAAACTGACAGAGGCAACGAAACAGACGCAGAAAATTCTAATTAGCAAAATGACAAAAGTTCACAGGTTTATCTATTGCCGTCGTGAACTAAGATAAGGCATAATCAGGGATCGATTTGCCCAAAGAAGATGCCTCCCTACATAACCACATGAATCTTATTCTTGAAGAAAGGTGCTCGGAACTCATTAGATTGACCTTACACCAGCTAGCTAGCAGGCAACTTGTTTATCCACAATGACAACACGTGCAGTTCAGAGACCGAAAGGCCAACTTTCTGATACGATCTTATTCTTTTTTCAGTTTATAAATAGGCCTCTGATGAAACCTAGTTTCCACATAACCAAGCTCTACTCAATCACTAGCTACGTACACGTTATTGCACTGCATATCAATTCTTTTTGCAGTCATGGAGGTGATCACGAGCATGGTAGGTGAGAGACCAATCGTGATATTCAGCAAGAGCAGCTGTTGCTTGAGCCACTCCATCAAGTCACTGATAAGTGGCTTTGGGGCAAACCCGACAGTGTACGAGGTTGATGAAATGGCTAACGGCCAGCAGATTGAGAGGGCATTGATTCAAATGGGATGCCAACCAAGTGTTCCAGCTGTTTTCATAGGCCAACAATTCATTGGTGGTGCTAACCAGATCATGAGCCTCCATCTCCGCAATGAGCTCGTCCCACTCCTCATGAATGCCAAAGCTATTTGGATTTGGAAAAGAAAGTAATCCATCGACAACGTTCTTTTGAGTTCAAATAAGAGGCTTAATTTGCTGTGCCCAGCTATATATGGCAGTTATATATATATATATATATATATATATTGTTGACTGAAGAGTATTATGACACACACACAGAGACAACCCCCCTGATGAGCATATAAACTAGTTTCTTGTCTTTTTATTAAAATGAAGATCTTGGTGGTTTAATTTCTTCTACAAAATGAATGCATGCTTGCATTTCTGACTGTTAAAATATTATTCAATCGCATCATTATCGTGCCTTAGCTTCTTCTTTTCCTGTATGTTCTTCATCGCCATTATCATATAAAATAGTCGGCTCATCAAGAACAGAACAGTACTCATGCATGAAGAAAGAATGCATGAATGGGTAATGTTTACCTGATGGACGCCCACAACATAAAAACGAAACCCAGCAAGCTCCCCTGATAAATTGGAAACTGATACTTCAGGCCACGGTAGACGAGTTGCTGATAACAACGAAAGGTACAAGCCTGAGTAAAAGAGGGGGGAAAGACCGAAAGAATTTTGTTGGCTAACAGTGATTATATTATATTGATAAAAAAAATGGCCCAAACAAATATTGGTAAAAAAAGAAGGAATTTTTAGATATGCTGAACCCCCACCAGCACCATCCGAAGAGAAGCATTTAGAGCATTCAACAAGGGTGCACTCACTGTAACTTAATGTCATTGGAGAAGAAATCGGCATCTATTTGTTTCCGTATAATATGCTGATGGAATATTTCTGTCAAATTACTTTTCTATGTAAATTTTATGTCCTGATGTTGCGCTAGGAAATTATACGCGAGAATATTAGTAGCAGTAAAAATATCATTTCACAAAAGAAAAAAAAAACCGAGTTGATGCATATTTTTCCAAGTCGATCTGAAGATAAATGATTTAACAGTTGAAATGAAAACGTTTTAAGAACGAGATGGTCGTACTCAAGTGACCCTTTGCTTTATGTTTGAGCCATTTATGCGAATAGTTAAAACGTGCCTTTGAGACTAATGAAAGGGGGTGCTTTTGCAAGTTGCAGGCACGTGGAAAATTCTGTCGCTAGAAGATCAACTATGTATATCGGAATGATAAAGTGATTTTTAATGTTATCAAATGCCTGGCAAAGATAAAGCAAGATCTGATAAATGGATGCAAAGCCACACTAATTAATTAGATATAATATTTAACACCACCCCCCTCAGATTTCTTTCTTCCTTCCTTTTTGTTTTTTCCCGTGATCGAATAGTGAAAGAATTTCTTCTGTTCTGCTTTCTTTATTCCCATGTGTTTCACTAAATTGACTAATGTCAGTGACAGCATTCGCTTACATGGTGCAGCTAACCTGCAGAGCCATATATTAAATCAAAACATGAGTCCATTTATAAGACATTGTGTAAGATAATTTTATATACTTAGTCAATAGGTTTGTTAATACTAGAAAAATAATGTAGCACGTAATATGAATATGGTATTGGGAAGCCGCCAATCGATGCCTAAGTTTTATTGTGTGAGAACATCTTCTAGGCATCTTCCCCATTCCTGTACGGTCAATACATATGTGTGGATTTTCATGCTATTAAGGGCCAGATTAAAAAAAAAAAAAGGCAAATTCTCCTGGCTGCGCATCTTTTCTTTTTCTTAGTAAGCTTTCAGTATTCGAGATTTGAAATGGATGCATGCGAATCTTGATAAGACATGAAAAGTCTCTACTTGTTGCCAAAATGATAAGCCCCATCTTCTCTCTAAACTGACCCAGATGCTACCAAAACACATAATTATTCAAGGGAAAATGACAAAATAGAGCGAACGTTGCGAAGAAATGTGATAATATACATATGAAATGACCTGTTCATTTAAGGCAAATGCAAATAATGAAGAGGAAACCTGAACATGGTCAATACCTAGGGTTGGATCCATTGATGGATGTACATATAACTGCTCATCATAAGCTACTCCTCATTCATTCGCTCTAGAAAAGCACAAAGGTATAACGAAATGGCACCTTTTTGGAACCCATAGATGGCACAACTTTTACAAGACTTATTCTCCGATATGTTATTCCACATGGGGAAAATGCTCAATCATATCTCATATATGCCAGAATAAACCGAGGCAGCTAGTATATAAACAGACCTGCTCCGAAGACAAAGTTCCACAGAGCAGATTAAGCAAAAAGCCTGAGGAGTGAGGACTAGCTAGCGTTCAATTACCTACCAAATTCAGTGTAAGCAGAAATCTATATATACATACATATATAATGGACACAGTGAGAAGGTTGATTGGTGAGAGGCCAGTGGTGATATTCAGCAAGAGCAGCTGCTGCATGAGCCACTCAGTCAAGGCTCTGATATGCAACTTTGGAGCAAACCCCACAGTGATAGAGGTTGACAAATTGCCAAAGGGGCAGCAAGAACAGGTGGAGACAGCACTGCTCCAATTGGGTTGCAACCCAAGCGTACCAGCTGTGTTCATAGGCCAGCAGTTCATCGGCGGTGCCGCTCAAGTCATAAGTCTCAACGTTCAAAACAAGCTTAATGAGCTGCTTTTAAAGGCTCGAGCTATTTTTGTCTAAGGCTCTCTCTTAGCTTCTCACGCCCCGTGTGGTAATCCCTTTCACACGCCCTTTTTTCCAGCGTTCTTTCGTCTTGTGTCTTTTTGCGCCGTCAACGCATCTCACGAGAAACTTTTGTAAAACATAATGTATGTCTGCTGTAATGCGAGCGTAAGGTTTACTTTTTACTTTATATGATGCAAAGCTCCAGTTAGTTGACAATTGTTTCGATTAATTATTGTAGAAAGGCGTCTCTTTAAGTTAAGACAATAAGATATAAGGGAATCCAGACGTTAAAATAATGCGATCTTAAAAATTAACGGCAATTAAATGGTGATTTTGGCAGAGACAGAAATGGTATGTGAATGCATCTATGCATTCCAGTGATTCGCACGAGGTTCCTCTCTAGATAATAATACTCGTGCCTGAGTCCTTGGTCCTGAAATTGCACGAGCACATGAGGTTTAACATCCCCTTTTTAGTGTGATTTCAATGGAGCACACCTTATTTAAAACCAATTGACCATACGTGTGCTTGGAATCACGTTTGCTCGTTTTTTTGAGATAGCCAACTTAATAAGCTCCTCTCAGAGAACTTTTGGAAAAGCTGCTTCAAACACTAAAAATTCAGTATCTGACTAGGGGTATGCAATTTGTGCACAAACCTGCCCAACTTGTACTTAAACGGGTCAATTCATACATGTTCTCTAAGAAAAATAAACTGATATAAGCAAATATATATTTGTATAACCATAAACGAGCAAGTAATAGATAAGGTCACAGGTGGCCCATATCTGCCCGTATATAATTAGCTATTTTCAATTAAATTATTCAATTCTTCTCCATTCTCATCATGGCCTTTACCTTCAGTTAGGTTTGGGGTGACATTTTTAAAAAAGTCAAAAACTGAGAAACTTAGGGCCCAACTCCTAAAGTGAAGGCCAAGAAGTGTGATGCCTTCATCATTCAACTCGTGCTACGTGCTATGCCCTAACTGAGCAAATAACCTCGATTGAGCTACCTCTCTGCAATCTCCTCCACTTTGCTTCAAGCTTCTCATTTGTTATGGTTCACCTTTGCCAATCGCTAGCCACAACCCACAGCCAGTCGTCCTCACCCATGCCTAGTGCCCCCTTCGATCGTCTTCCCTCCTTTGTTGGTGTGAGTGCCTCAGAGAGAGACTGCGAGAGATTTTAGCTTATTCGGCTTTCACCTTTTTGCAAACTTCACCTTCACCTCTACTGTTCTATCTCCCATCAAGTAAGTCGTCTCGTTCTCGTGATCTCATCTTCTCCTTGACTTGAGCAAACTCTTTGGTCTCATCCTCTCCTTGACGTGACTTCATCCATAAATCTGAATGCAAACTCTGATACACTTGAGTTGCTGGTTACATGTTCTTATAATCCTTATCAAATGTGTTCTTTTTGCCCTGATTATGTGTTTTGATTCACTCTAGTTATATTGTCTTTTTACTCAAAATGCTCTCATAGATTTATGGGTGTAATATTCTCTCTTAGCCTGTTCCTTTGCTTAATCAAAAATTCAGAATGATGTGTTGGCTTGTAATGTGAACACACTTGGTAATTATTTAGAATAATTTATTCTGTAAAGAATGGTTATTCTTTATGTTTTAATTTACTGAATCCTCTCACATTTTTGGTAATTTTTCATGGTTACATACTTAGAATTGTAAACTGCCTCTTAAAATTAAAGGATAATTGATTTTTTTTTTAAAAAAAAAAAAAGTGGGTGCTACAGCCAAACAGGTGATCCAGACCCACCCGTACTTGCACATACCCGTTTGCACTTGTTTTGGAACAGATGCAAATGGGTATAAGCAGGTATGGGTGGGTAATGGGTACGGTCACATATAGCTCGCATCCGCCCATTAACACTTTTATATCTGACAATAGAACAAACCCAACCAACCTTAAGAAAAAAGGACCTCTCAGGTTACATGACCATTCACAAACTCACCCTATTTCTTGAAGAATTCGATTTTGCATGTACCACGTGATCGGCCAAACAGGTTGAAACCAGTATCTGCAATCAAACACTTGCATCCTCTCATCCACGCCAACCGAACGCAATGATATCTCAAAATGAAATGTCCCTTGCTTAGTTCATACATTTAACTTTCGTTCTTTATTATCTTTACTTAAAAAAAAAAGCAAAAAAAAAAATTTCTACCTAGAATATTATTCAAGGCGAGACATCAATGAGAAAAAATTGGACATGACGAGCAGTCGCGGAGGAATCCTTAGGAAGTCCCCACTAGGTGATGCCAAGAACTGACCTCGCACTACTGTCACTGAATTATCCCAGTTCTCCAGACGCATATGCCCATCAGTCGTTGGAACCAATAATGCAATGGAGGGTAAGTCATTTTTAAGCTTTAATTGGAGGGTCAATTATTGAACTAGAGAAGATAATTATTCTTATGCCTCAAGCATAACCTCATATTCATCCGGAAAACATTTTCCCAGCATATTCTGTTTTAAAAGCAAAGGTAGGGAAAACCAAACACTGAATTCAAGAATATCGTGTTTGCTCCAATATCAATTCGCTAATAAGAAATTAGACAATTGGAAAGCCATGCATTCAATATCCATCAATCAAATGTTCATTTGCGATGGATAACCATAGTTGAAATAATAAAACTTGAATATTCAGGAATTTACCCTTTGCCTACAACTCCAGATCAGAGAACGTGGGTTCTTCAGTCAGTTATGCTTTTCTCAGCATTAGGCTGGTGACAATCCATCCAAGACTAGCCAATAAAATAAAATGGGAGCTTCTCAGCTAGCTCTCAAAGAAAAGATAGGAGAGTGGAGATGTAGAAGACTCTACCAGCTCACACGCACCTCAACGAAACCAGAACAAGATTGATCATCACCTTTACCTACTCAATTGAAATGCAATGATTTACAATGCTTGCCACTCTAAGTATTAAATAATAAACAGTCTCCCAGAAATATCAGATTTATATCGATTAATCATTTGCATAATCCATTTAAAAAATGCTAGGAAAAAAGGGAAAGAAACAGATTCAGAAATAAAATAGAGGATCTAAAAAAAAAAAAAAACACAGACGGGGCCATAATTTCTTCATTTCTGAATATAGTCTTTCAGACCAATGTTTCTTTCCTCTAGGCTCGCATTTCTTTTCCAATTTGCAACAGCTCTAAGGACTGTATCTTTAGCCTCATCAATCTCCTTAGCTGAAAATTTATGCTCTATGATTCCCAACGGTCCAGGTTGCAGCACGTTAATCACAGTCCCCACATCTTGCTCAATCTGTCTGTGAGAAATAGAAGGAAATCTTGCATAAGGACTATCAAGAACTAAAAAATTCTTAGATACATATTATAGTTTTAAGGTTCACAAAGTTGTCCTTGATTTGAATCAGGCAGTATGAAACCAGAAGATAGAAAATGTACAATGAACAATGATGCGGCTTTTAAGGTTCTCGATGACTGCATCACATGGCCACGATCAGTCTGTAGTCTGAACTGCTTATAAGTTACAAGATCAAGGGTAAAAATGTCTTGAAACTTTTTCTTTAAAAACATTTAGTATCCTAAGCTTTTTTTGAAGCATTTTTGTACAAAGTATTTTCACCTTATCATTAAAAATCATAAACGTTGACCATTAAACTAAAGTTTGACTAAAGGTATTTTTGTAATTTTTTTCCTCCCTTCTTTTGTGTTTTTGTGTTTCGTTTCTGATCTTGTTCTCCAGTAAATTGTTTAACTTTTCTTTTTTCAATGAACAAATGAAAATGGAGACTGAAAAATGCATAAACGAAAGAGAGGAAAATCATTAAAAAACCCTGGTCAAATTTCAGTTAATAACCAACGTTTGCAATTTTTAATAGTAAAATAAAAATGCTCTCTCTTTTAAACTTTTAAGCCAAAAATACTCTTAAAAAAGTTCAGGATGGCAGGCTGGAGAAAAAGTTACAGAGAAATTTTGCCATTTAACCCTAAGTTATAACAAAGGAACCATCCAAATTCTGAAACATGTAGTCTTCTATTGACTCCTCAATTACAGAAATTAACCAATGATCAACAGAATGCGCTTTTGTATATTATAAATGCAATAAAATGTAAATGGGCGGTGATGATATTCAAAGAGTAACCCCACTGGGTGAATTGAGGTAATTTAACTCAGAAGCCTACGTTCAAATCCCCACCAAAGCAAGAGGAGCAGGCTAAAGTAGATGGAACGAGTAAACTGTAACATGTCACATCGCCAGGGACTCAAGCTTCGTGAATTTTCTTTCCTTGAGAAGTAGGGTAAGAAGAAAATCCACCAGCCGTACAGCCATTTATGAGATATTTTGAGTGCGTTTTCCAAATATCCAGCAGGATGAAGAAGGAAGAAATCACAATTGGGGGAGGGGGGAGCGAAAGATGAAGACGAAAAAAACCAGCAATTGGCACCTGATTAGCCCTGAAAAGGGCAAGGAACTTCGAAACCCGGATACTCGCATTCCCGTACACTTCTGTTCTGTTCGAGCGATTCGTGCCCAAGTCAGGCGGAAGAGCCGTCACAAGCGCAATATGCCCAGATTTTTTTTTTTTTTAAGTAATTGCTTACGTGATTCGAAGGAAAGAAAATATAAAAAAACAAAAGAAAGACGACTACCCAGGGATGGTTCCGTAGACCAGCGCCTTATGAATTGGGCCATGGAGTCTGTTGATACCAAGGGTCTTAAGTCAATCCAAACCAATCAAACCAACGTCAAATAATTAAAATTAATTATAAACAAAGTTTGGTTATTTTTTGTTTTTGACAAATTAATTGGTTGGTTCAGCTTTTTACTTCTAAAGACTTAAATCAAATCGAACTAAGTTTTATTTTATTTATATATATATATATATATATATATTTTATAAATTTATCAAAAAAAGTTTTTCTTTTACAAATTTAGTTATTTAAAAATTATTAATAAAAATATGTTGCGATTAAAAAAATATTATTTATAATTATTTAATATATTTTTAAATTTTATAATCAAGTGTTTTAAAGATGACACATTAATTTTTAGTAGTTAAATATACTAATTAATTGTTAAAAAATATTCTTTTGTGTTTAAGAAATTTTTTCAATGCAAATAATAATTAATAGTTAAAATTTATCAGTGAACATGAATATATATTAGTAATTATTAAGAATATTTTATTAAAAAAATTTAAACACGATCCATACCTAAGCCAAATCAAACATCTCAAAAATTGAACTAAACCAATTAGAAAAAAAAACCAAATAGGTCCCCAAACTATAGCAAAATGATTGGTTTAGTTTGATCTGATTTTTCTTCAAAATCAAATCAAATTAAATCAAACTTGTGAACATCTTTAATTGATATTAATAAATTTTATTGATTTAATAAAACAAAAATAATTATCCAAAAAATAAACAGTATGACTCTTCCGTAGACCAGCGCCTTATCCATGGGGCCATGGAGTCAAATGTTAATAGCAAACAAACTAATGACTAAAATAACATGCATATCATTGTTAAGTCCCCCCCCCCCCCCCTTTTTTTTTCTTCGGGGCCATCACGTTGGCTGCCAAAAGAATGGTTTCGTCCTCTTTTCTCCCACTTGATTGCGAAGGGATTTGAAGCCGATATTGACATCTCCTCCCTCTTATTTTCGTCCTAACAACTAACATGCAAATGTGGTTGGAGGTTCATATTTGGGACAAAGTTCATCGAGTATTACTTACATTTTTATTATTTAAATTGTGCCACACCTTTATGAATTATTGATTTAGCGAGCACCTTACTCTCTTGATGATTTGATTTCAGATGAAGAAATTTTGTTAAAATTCTCGATCATGGAATGCTAGTTTCACGGAGCAGCCACCGTCATAATCCAATCAAAACTTGGTCAAGTGTTGTCACTGATGACAGCATCTCCAGAACTATTGACTGGAAATTGGAAAATAACAACAATCACATTGCACTATGCATGCATGCTATACAATACGTAAATATTGCATATTATATGTTACAAATTATTAGTAGTGCGCTATGATCATGAAACTGAGTGACGCCTACGCCTTGGAAAAGGGAAGCGACCTTCCGAACCAACTCTGCCCCGAATAGACTTAATGCTGTTAATCCGAAACAGGGAATTAAGCTTGCTGAGTTTGTGAGTGAAAGATTTAAAGAACTTGTTGGCGGGACTAGACCTCACAAACTCCTGCTTCATATGAAAGTGATCCTTCTCCAGATCAGTGAGCCTCATTCTCATTCTTGCAACCTCCAGCTTCAGCTCCCTGTTCTCTCTTCTAACGGACGCATAGTTATCTCTTGGAGAAATGGCTCCACTTCCCGCACCACTTCCCGAGCGCTGAGGAAACTGAACGTTCATTCCACCGAAGAACAATTGGTTGTGCCCCCCACCATTCATAGCGTTCCGAAGCCTTATTTGCTCAAAGTACAGAACTTGCACCGCCATCTGCACTGGCAGCCTTTCATTCTGTGCCGCGTGGCCACCTGCTTCTTCACTCAGCTTCTGACAATCTACTGTTTTGCATAGCCTGTGCTTCTCTGACTCCTTCATGTTTGGATGAACCTGATGTAACCAAACCCAGATGAACACAAGACTTGGTAACTGATACGTTTCCTAGTTCAAATTAACTTTTAAGTGAAATTAAGGTGATTCATTTTACCTTAAGGAAGATATCAACAGCTCTGTAGAGTCCGTCGCTTACAATACGTGCATGATCTGGAAGTAATTCTGCTAGTGCTATGAATTTTGATGGCACAATGTTTGGGTCTAATGCTACTTCAGAAAGAAAATTGTCCAGCAACTTGGATACCTTGAGAATTGAGCTTTGTTTTGGAGATCCAGGACTGTCAAAGTCATACACCATTTCACTTTCATATCTCAAGTCACTGTCTTCATTGTCATCCTCGTCCAAGTTCAGAAAAATAGAGAAAATTCTCAGTATTGAATCTATGTCATAGATTGTGCCGTGGGGGTTTTGATGTGAATTTGATGGGATTAAGATGTCTTCAAGAATTGCCTGGTCGAGTTGGAGACCAATCCGCCTTTCCAAATCAGATCTGGTGGAAATAGATACCGATGACTCTATTGCAGCTTTCAACAAACTTGAAAGAAATGCCATCGGAACTTGGCTTTTCCTTGATTGGGTAGGCAGTAAGCTAACTATGGCTTCAATAATGACCTTTTGTTTCTTTTGCAATTCTAAATCCTGTGAACTTCCTTTAACACCTTGAGAGTCCCTAACAACAATGCCCTGGAGGGAATTATGTGCATAGCTTATCAGAATTTTGCTAATCATGTCCTGTTTCAGTCCCTTAGACTTCACTGCAGACACAACCCGTTGGAAGAAATTAAGACCAAGAACATTGAGGCAATTTCCCCACCAATCTGAAGGCGTTTCTGGCTCCATGTTTGACATAGTCTTGGAGGGAAAGTTGTGGTCAAGTTTAAGCAAGCCGGAGGTGAGCTGCTCTTTGCATGCATTATTTGCAATTGCATTAATTAGCCTGCTAACAAGGTTTATGTCTTCTGAGATGGGAAGAAGACTTTCGCAACAATGAAGAACAGTTATTGTGTTTGGTATACTGGGGAGCACCGTGTCCTTCAAATATGTTTCAACTTGGCTCTCCAAGTTCTTCTCCAAAAACTCTTCTGTCATTTCCAAAAAATGGGCTAAACAACGAAGCATGGCAATATTTGAGAGGGTGAACTCAACATTGAGTCCATAACAAAATTTGGCGGCTAGCTCAAATGCCATTGCTCCACCTGGTATAGCCGCAAGACTTATGCGTGGAACTTTCGAATCTTTGGCTTCTGACAGTAGTCTTCGAATTCTTCCACTCCGAGAAACAAGAGGAAACTGTTAAAAAATGCAACCAAATTATTACAGTTCACTGCAGAAAATCTCTGTCAAAAAATGCTGGTATCTCATTCAATCCATTCAGTTGTCCATTTTTCACGAACGATTAGGAGAAATCTGGGGTGGGTCATTATATTCATAATTTCCATCAGGTTTTGTTGCTAATGAATCCTAAGCTTACACTCCCTTGAAAAGAAAAAAAAACAAATGAGAATGACATTTTTTTTTCTGTCATTTTACCTTGTGAAGTGCAAAAATTGATGCTCCGACTTCGATGGTAAGGTCACTAGTGACATCAGATATTGGCCTGTAATAAACAATTGTGATCGAGTCATTGTACAAAGCAGACATGAACACTTCAGCTTAAAGCAACAAGAGCAGTCGTATTAACAAAATTCTGATCATTCCAACCCAAATTGACGACCACATATAGCAAGAGGAAACCAAGGGCTGCTTTGGCCTCGTCAAGTTGATCTTCAGCCCATGTGAGGTCACAAGGTTTTTTCGACAGAGGATGATGAACTCATTTTACATCTCTATACTTAAGGCCTAAATTTTGCAAAAACACGAGAACATTTGACAGAAAAACATCGGTCGGCGACTCGGCGTTTGCATTGTTGACGTATGAGATTGCAGCTTCAGATCAATGATACAACTTTATCAGCAGAATCTTAGCGTTTGCCACAGATTTGGCCGGTCTATGGCTAAATAAAGGGGAAATTTTGTGACATTGCTTCGAAAATCTGAATGCATTTGTGGTGGAAGGATTGAAAAAGAATACAGCAACCATGAGATTCAAAAACAGGCAAAATGAACTAGACAGTGGAAACAGGAAAGGTCATGTTGGGGTTTCTTTCACCACGATTGACCACATAGAAGAACCCTGCTAAACAAGGGTAAAAGACCCACATGATGAAACGGTGGGTGAGATGGAGGAATTGGTTCCAAGAAGTGGCTAAATTTATTCTGATAGAATCAAATTCTGCTTCAAGGTCGATAAAAAAGACTAGACATGGGGGCAAGGAAAAGGACTTTAATTTTGAATTGAATGGCCGGTATATCAATTTCACCGGGGAAAGAAGAAATAGACATTGCCATAGAGATTTTTTTTAACAAAAAAATGAAAACCCAATCTACTGCATCTAAATCTGCATTGATTGACGTGTTAAACCGAGAAGCTTGTGCTCTGCGGTCAACACAAAAATGACATTAAAAACAGCATCATACTGGAGAAATGAAGGATTTACCATTCAGTGGCATGCCTTATGCTTGAACTTGTCCGAAAGGATCTCTTCCCAGATATACTGGTCTTTAATTCACCTACAGTAACAACTCCCATCTGCACAAAGCCTGCCCAATTTTCAATCTGCCAGTGATTTAACGTCTCATTCCATTCCAATTTGATCAAAAAGAGACTAGAGCAGAATAGTCTTTCCGAGGGATTCCTTCAGGATGGCTTCTCTAGCCTTTTCTTCTTTATTCGTGTGTGAAATGAAAACTTGTAGTGAAGCAAAAGTCAAACGAACGCATGCTGGGCTGAAGGTCGGAGGTGACTCAAATAGACTTTAAGGGCTAGCGCTTATAATGAACTTAATCTATAAAGTCAAGGCAAACTCGAATGCGATTCCATTTTTCGGTGAAAGGTAGAGAATTAGTGGCCTTTTCTTTCTTTCTTTTTTTTCCCCTACAAGGTGTTCTTTGTTTTAAAAATTGCAGGAATTCTGAAGTGTCGCAATGCTTTATGGGGCTGTAATCATGGCTAGCCAAAGTAGCCCACGTAAAGATTAGCATGAATAGAACTATAATACTATATTGACGCTCACAATTTGGACATGATATATTGAGAATCATGGTATACTTGACCAGATTAAAAGCATGATAGGAAGTTTAAAAGTTGTAGCCTTTGGTTATCTGAGTCAACTTTTAAACCCGCAACCTTAAAAATCTCCAGGCCTGACTTTCAGGAGAAGCAGCCCATCTGTTTTGTAACGCACGCACAACTATCTTAACCTATGCAAAAGCAATGTGGGAAGGTACAAGTTTTCCCCATGAGCAGAGTATTGTTGAAGGTCTGGGAAGTATCTTTCTCGAAAAGGTACGGTTGGTTCAGCAGCAAGACAATGCCAGGTACAAGTTTCAGCGGGAAACATGAAATGTCAAAAACTTGGTCTCTAAATGGCTAAAAAGATTTCTTAAACTTTTTCGCCAACATTGAAATGAAAGATAGGGCTATTATCATTGGTTCAGCTGTGAAAAGATAGTGCCGTCAATCATGATGTTCAGCAACTTTAGACCCCACCCTCTCAAAATTTATGGGCTGTGGGGACGTACACTTAAGCCTCCCCTGCATCGCCTGGATCACATTCTCCCTGAAACCTCAGGGATTGATATAAATTGTGCAGTCTGTATGGTGTTCCATATTGCAATTTATTAATCCTATCCATGGAAAACATGAGGGTTTCCTCTTTTCAACTCACAAGAAGCCAAGCTGCCAAGGAAAAAAAAAAAAAAAACTCACAAGACGTCATGACTATTTGACACTTTCAAACCGAAGTGCCCAAATGAACCTATTAATCTGTGCATGTGTTTGTCCATTCGCTGCCAAAAATCATCGGCCGCATGGGATGCCTGATCAGCCCTCTCAACCCCATAAGCATGCGGTGACTTACCATTGAACGAATTCAGGTACTTGTAATCAGAGTCTCCCAGTTTTAATGATGACATTCGACACCTCGATTAAGTACCACTTATGCCAGGTGAAAAACTTTACAGGAAGTTTCTTAGGTTGCTCCTGAAATTCTTTTTAAATAATGATCATTGAGATTATCTTTTTACTGCCAAAAATAACCATGACAGTTAAAAAATTGTGAGTAAAGTCTAAGTGACTAAAGTCCATATTCTTTCATACAAAACAGTTTCGTGTGGGTGTGGCAAGAAAAGTTAAGGCAATGATGGGAACTCGTTAGGGACAAACTCAAGACTGAGACAAATTTTAAGGGAAATAACGCACAAGACATTGACAAATTTCATGGGAAGATGGAAAAAAAAAAAAATTGAATCCCATTGTCATCATAATGATTATTTCCCCCCCTTGGCTGCCAGAAATTATGCACTTTTACTTCGCTTGTCCCCGGTGGAGCGAGACAAAGCGTGCTCTTTCTACTAAACAAGCCGTGCTTTTGCTGAAACAGAGCCTGTCCTCCCTTTCTTCAAAAGACAACAAATAAATTAAACTGTTCTTTGTTCCTGACTTCCTATCTAGGCTAAATTATCTGATCTTCCAAGATCATAAATAAATTGTAAATTTTTAGTTCACATTCTTATATTTGTTAATTATTTTTTATCTAAAAGATTCGCTGCCAATATAAACTTCCAACCGTTGCGTAACATGATTTTTGTTTAAGGGATCACATATTCAGTCTAATTTGAAAATTCCGTAGCCTCAACATTGTTCTTGTCGTTATTATCAAGAATAGTCTTTAATTGCTTTGTTCTTGGAAGAGTGTTCTCCTTTTATCAAGCAAGCACAATCTAATGTCCTCATGATAATCACGACATAAATTATCTTTTAAAAAGTTTACTTAGTTCAAAACATAAGATGTTAAATAGTTTTTATGATTTTTTTTATATACCATTATTTTATTTATTATTCTTTTTTAACAAAATGTTTATTGATATTTCAAATGTCATTATTAAGATACTTATGTAAGATATTTAATAAAAGTATGATTGAAAATATGCAATTTTTTTAAGAGATTAATATTTTACTTAATTTTTTTAGAACCATGAAATAATTATAAATGTTATATATTGTGGCCGGAGTAATGTTTCAAAAAATTTCAACGTTGCCTTAAGAAGTTAACAACAACAGGCCAAAAAATAAATAAGTTAATATGTGTTTCCCTCTGGGTACCACGATGCGGTGAATGTGACTATCTGCAATAAAATCTTACCAGGAAATTCGCCAGGCATATTTGTGAGGCATTCAAGTTAAGCTACATCATCATCAATATATTCCCTGATACTCCTCTAGCCGCGCAGATCATTATTCCAACTCCAGGCTCGTTTCCCTGTTATCGGCTATAGTGACGACTTTACTTTTGTCCATGGCTTCATTTTGTCTTGCACACCGAAGATTGACCCTTTTAACTGTGCTATAGGTTTATTAACTAGAAGTGCAAATATTCTATCAACCAGTTAAATTGAGGCTCTAAATAAATTCACTTTTATGCCCGCTAGTTAAAACCACTGGGCTCTTGACTTAAATGAGTTAAAAGCTCGTGGTTTATTATTGATCATTAATTAAAAGGTTATATTTTTGTTACAAGCATTGGATCATTGAATTAATGACTCATTTGGCACATTGAAATTGAGGCTGAAGAAATGGAAGTGAAAGTATGAAAAATGCATGTTTGGTGCGTGTAAACTCACTTTTCAATGGAACCCACTTCCACCAAAATCAATAGAATTTAGTTTCATCTACCTTTTTTATGAAACTCAGTTCTACCAAACTAACTTCTACCTTTACCCTTTAGTGTCTAACCTTCTCCCCTCTTCTTGAGATGATGACCTGCCTCCTTCCTTGATGGCTCTCATTAATGACGACTATATTTCCCACCTTGACATTACCAATATTTATCACACAATTATAACATATGATGGTAATTAAAAGTTATTAATCCCTTTTAAACTTACCATAATCATAAAAGAGTTAAATTAATTAAATATGTGAAATACAATTGAAAAACTTTGGGATCCTAAAAAACCCTCCAAATATGTAGTTTAAACTCAAACTTATTAATATTTAAAATTATAGAAAACATGGTAGACATAGCAAGCAAAACAAGACCAAAAATGTTATTTTGATGCATTCTAACATATGTCACTCACATATGGTTCATATGCCGCAGCATGTGGTACAAAAAAGGCAATTTGGCCTCTGTGTCGTATGTCGTGGCTTGTACGCAACATACTGCAACGCTTTGCTATTATGACAGCTTTTCAAGGTAAATTTTGAACATGCACCATTTGTGCATTTGATGTCCAATTAGGATGATTCAAGCACCCACGCTAAGATTATTCAATAATCTAATTAATTGAATAAGTTTCATTACAATCAATATTGTATGTGAAATTTGAATAATCGAATGCAAAAGTTAGATTTTATAACTGATATAGGACATCTAAGTGTTCAAATCTCAAAAGTTATACCACTAACTTAATTTGGAGTTTGAACCAAGTCTAATGGATCAATATACATATGTATGATCTAGTAATCACATAATAACACATCAAACATAAGATTTGGCCACCCAAGACCCTAATATCACATAATGGGGCAATTTCATGAAATTCACCGTATTTCATTACTAAGCCAAATCTTCACAGCACATGGTCTTTAGTCACCACAACATCCACTTATATTTCTATTTTATCCTATTTCCCCTATGTTTTTGCCAAACATGCTCATTAGGCTAAAATATCACAACATACATTACATGTGTAGTTCGGCCAAATAAGCATATACTAACTTAGTACTTATACCAATTTGTTGGCCCTTATACATGTGTCTTGAAACATATATTTTCGAGCTAAAATATCAAATAACACTACTCATACAAGCATTATACAAAAATATATGAAATCCCTAATTGGTAACCATATGTTTACATATACATTCATATGCACAAAACTTAAAATAAGTGCATTACAAAGTATAAGCCAATTATTCCTAGCCCAACCTTTTCCCTTATTTCCTCTCAACTTTAAAACATGTAAAAATGTAAATTCATGGGGTAAGACAATGTCTCAATAATTAATATAATTCAAAACTATCTATCAACAAGAATAACTACAAACAAGTAAATAAAACATTATTTTCTCAATTTCATATTATATAAATATAAATATATATATATATATATATTATAACATGTATAAATTCATTTCCATCAAATCATTTTCACACACTTGTATGATCATTCTATTCATCTATACTCCCTGACTAAACATGTAGGCTCTACTAGACTAATCTTGTGTACATTAATATGAGCATAACTTCAGTGATATAATCACCCGACTAAAGCATTTTATCCTACTTTTTGGCTATGAATTTCCCCTATAGCACATGTGATTGGAGTGTCGTTGCCTCCTAACCACACCTTTATAGGCACTAGAAAGTTGTCAGTTGCTTGGATTGTTCATGGTAACAGTCCGTAAATAATTGCTGCACCAAATTATCTCACGGTGTCAGCCTGACCATATAAATCTTCTTTTTAAACACCTCCACGCACTCAGAGTGAACTCCTACCCTTAATATGATCATCCCTTTTCGCGCACATATAACTATTTATCACCATCATATATCCACAAACATATATACATATATAATAATTTACTCATAGAACAACTTTATTTAATAATATGCTTTATAAAATCAAATTCTTTTTCAATGCTAGAGGCAAGTTGTAAACTATACTGCTATCAAATCACAAATCATATTATCATGTTTACTTATAGATAGTTAGACTAGTTAATAAACATGATAAATTATCCAGTTACTAAACCTCCTTTTTACTAAAAGGGTTAATCATAGTGTAACATTTACTCCAATAGTCTTGGTGACTAGTAAAAGCACCAAATCATGTAAATCTACAATTTCAAGCACCATATGTTAATTT